CTTCTTTGATTCCTGGGCTTCGCCCTCCCTTATTTCCAACTGCCCTAATGATCCTTATTGCAGCTTCCTTAAAACCAGGGAACCAGACCTGCTGAGAAAATCTGGGATGAGGGCGAGAAAATCTGGTCCAGATGACTTGGCAATTTGGCCTGGTCCAGATGACTTGGCAGTTTGATGAGGGCGAGAAAATCTGGGATGATGACCTCGACGTGGCCGAATTTATGCGGCTGAATACTCGGGTCACATCCATGGCCGGAGTGACGGCCTTCACCAAGGCTGGAGTGATGGCTCCTACCATAACTGGAATGACGACCGCTTACCATGTCCAGAGTGATGGCCGCTACCACGGCCTGAACGACGGCCGCTGCCACTGCCGGAATGGCGACTGCTTACCACGGCTGGAGTGGCAGTGGCCTTCCGTGTCCGAGTGACGGCCCTTGCGCTTTCCACGGCCTGGAGTGAAGCCTTGGCTTTAGGCTGGCCGTGGCTGATGGCGATATAGGTGGCGAAGGTCCTGCCTCGGGGGAAGGAGTCTGATTGTCTTGCAAGAAGACCAAGGAGCCGAAGCGTGTAAATTTAGGATGTGATTTTTCTTATGTGTGTTTGTACTCGGCCAGGACCTGGCCATCTCCTTGTAAACGCACCCCCCTTTTCAACCCAAATGAATAAAATGAAGTATGATTTCCTTTAGTTTGTCTTTGTTATGTTGCATACTCCACTTTGATATTTGCAAATCTCATAACCTTTCTGCGGCCGTCTCCCACAATGACGGGATATATCTCTTCAAATATTGGCCGTTGATCGGCAAGTTGTGCCATTCCCCATCTCTATCTTTTAACTGAAATGTACCTCGGCCAAGAATTCGTTCAATAATGAACAGTCCTTCCCAGTTGGGTGAAAATTTGCCGAACCGAGGGTCCTTTGTCCCAATAGGAAGCACGGCTCGCCATACTAGGTCGCTTTCGGCGAAAGCCTTTTGCTTAACCCTTTTGTTGTAAGCCCTCGCCGCGATTTGCTTTTGTGCCTGCATCAGGTTATAGGCATCGAGTCTAGATTGCTCCAAATCTTCCAACTCCTGAGCCATGGCTTGTGCATAACCCCACCCTTCACGCTCAGGTTGCTCGGCCACACGGAGAGACCGAACCTTTAACTCCATCGGGACGATGGCGTCGTGACCGTAGGTTAAGGCGTAAGGAGATGTGCCCGTGGCCGACCGCTTTGAGGTTCGGTAAGCCCAAAGAGCTTTGGGGAGCAAGTCGTGCCACGCCCTAGGTTTTTCCTCGATCATGTTCTCTAGGATGCCCTTGATTACTTTGTTACTTGCCTCGGCCTGTCCGTTAGATTGAGGGTAGTAAGGTGTTGAGTGGATCAATTTGATCCCCATTTTCTCGGTGTACTCCCGTGTCTCGGTCGATGCGAATACCGGGCCGTTGTCGGCCGTGATAGTTTCTGGAATACCGAATCGATGAACGATGTGATTGTCAAAGAATTTGACCACCTGTGCGCTGGATATCGACCGATAGGACTTGGCCTCGACCCATTTGGTGATATAGTCGGTCGCCACCAAAATCCAAGCGTGTTGGTTGGATGCGGCCGGATGGACTTTGCCGATGATATCCACAGCCCACCCTCTGAATGGCCATGGTTTGGTAACCTGGTGAAAGGCTTCGGCCGGTACCCTTTGTATGGGGCCGTAGATTTGACACTTGATACATCCCTTCGCATACTCTGTGCAATCTTTCAAAATGGTCGGCCAGTAATAGCCGTGCCTCCGGACCAACCACCTTATTTTGACCCCAGACTAGTGAACACCACAAATCCCCTCGTGAGACTCATTCATGATGACCTTGATGTC